GCCGCCAATAAAATTAGTGCAGTTTATGGACCCGATACAGTTTCTCTTTTCACCGCACAACGATGGTTTCAACGTTTTCGTTCTGGTGTAGAGGTGGTCGAAGATGCGCCACGCTCCGGAAGGCCTGTCGTCGAAAATTGCTATAAAATCGCTGAATTGATCGAAAGAGACCGGCATAGTGGGAGCCGTAGCATCGGTCAAAATGGGCATGAGTCGTCAAAAAAATTTTATGAACAATTGAAAACTCAATAAAAATACCGCAAGACTTTTTTGACAACATATTATGGGCACAATAGACCTAAGGTCGCAGTGCATTCCTCAGTTATGTATCTATCATGTATGTTTGTAGGAATAATGTTTAAGACTCATGTTGGCATTCTGTTTTACATTTTATAACCATAAAATCTGATTAAATAGTAAAACATATAAACTATTCGACGGAATAGATTTCGGAAGGTCGTGTAGTTTCACTTAACTTTGACTTATAACTTCATAAATAATTGAGCTGGACATAGGATGGCGAATATACCAATATGCGCAAAAACTAGTAAGACTTTTAATTTAAACCAACAAAGAAATTCCATTAAATTTTATGAGCGGAATCAATCAACCTGATGCCAAAACTTTCAGAATATTGAATGACAGTTCATAGGCGAGAGCAAGTGTTTTCGATTGGTACCAAGTCCAGGACAGCCATCAACAGCAACTGCTGATCAATACTTGAGAATTGGCGAATAATAATCAGAGATCTTGTTTTTGCATCTCTGGAATATCGGAAGGAGCAGGGAAAATCATTTTCAAAGTGCATTTGGGTTTAAGAGAAGTCAGAGATTGGTTTCAAAATCACTAAATTTTTGCGAAAGAACCGTCTCGTTAATGTCTGTGAAACAATGCTTTCCGACTACCTGAATATCATGAAACGCATTACTACCTGAGATGAGTCTTCGATGTACGCTTACCACCCAGACACAAACGATCAGTCGACCGAATATCGTGCCAAAGGTGAGTCGAAGCCGAAAAAAAAGCACATCAAAGCAAGGCTATGTTGACAATTTTCTTCGATTATCGAGGTACAGTGCACTCCGAATTCCCTCTGACCGGCTAAACTGTCAACAAGAAATAAAAAGACCCTAAACGCTCTGAAGGTCATCCCGACCATTCTCAATTTAACCACAATTGTTGATTATAAAATTTTCAAAACTTCAATTTTTCGTATATTATAAGCTATCCCATATATCTCATCAAATTCGGGGAAATTATTGCATACTCATACCGTATTACCGGAATACCGGAATTTCTATTCCAATAACTTACGGATCCAGGATTACAGTCTATACAATTTTGATTCCTAAAGCTATTTACTGCTCGGTTTTTCTCCAACTTAGTAGTAGTAGRTTCATAAAATTCAATGTGGTTGCTAGCTAGGTGAAAAGAAAGGGCTTATCTGTCATCTAAATAAATTTAACTACTTTTTTTTACGAGGAGGGATTTACACTTTTTCGCTAAATGAGGTTCTTTCAAAAAAGTGTAGTACTCGGGCTTCATCCTTGATAACAAACAATGTTGAGGACAGAGCTAGGAAGACACTATTTGCCGTATATTGCTGTAAAGGAACTATTGGAAAGTGGTGGTGACTCCCACAAAAATAGTGCTTTGTAGACGTTGTCGACAGATGTTTTACTGCGAAGGTTGGTATCAGAATGGATCCGTTAAGAGTACCAGTAAGAGACATTCTAAAATCCTCTCTCACTTCTACTGTATCCCTAAGGACTTGGACCACTGCATCGCGGAGTCAACTTCGCACTTATATCCTATTAAATTGTGAAAGGGGTGGAGTTGCTCGAGAGGAGGTGCAGGAAGCTTTTTCATGGATGGATCGGAATTTAAGGGAAAGTTTGGAAAGGGAATATTCTATTTGGAGCCGTCAATCAACTATTTTTTTTATACTGCCAGACCACTGTAGTGTCTTTCGAGCAGAATTGAGCTGCTATGCAGGCCTCGATCTTGATGACAATGAGGTCAAAGATAGTCAACGAATGTATGACATCACTAACAACAGCATCGAGGTACTTCCATATTAAACTTGTCAGAGTGTCTGACAATAGCGAAATCGTCGGATATTGTAAACAGAATAAGCTTGCATGAAAAGGCACCCATAACCAAAATTGCAAGAGAATTCCCTTCTCAGCGTGCATTCGGGCGCTCGGTCTATGGCCTTAATTTAGAGAACGCAATTCGTCAAAGTTGCAATGAGTTAGATAGGGCGAAAATATCCAGACACTTTCTGCTCCGCTGAAAAACAACAGTTTGGTTTGGTTTGTGGGTCACTTCGGTCCATATTTCTTCAAAACTGATCCCGGTGAGAACGCAAACGTCAATGGCGACCGTTATCGCGCCGACTATTTTAGCCTAAAATTGAAGCTCGTAGTCTCGGTGACATTTGGTTTCAACACGGTGCCACTTTCCACATCAATCAATGTATTTATTGAGAAAACAGATAATTTCACGTCACGTCACTAGACATTTTTCTGCGGAATAAATTAAATTGCGACAAACCCACTTCAATTCAGGTCTTATATCAAAACAGCACGCGTGTCATTCGCCAGTTACCATTCGAAATGCTCGAATGAGTCATCAAAAATTGGATTCAACTAGGGAACCATCTGAGGCATACGTCGACATTTTAAAGAGATAATATTCAAAAACTAAATGCCAAGAATGTTATTTCCAATGATAACAAACATTACCCGTTAAATTGTAAGATCCTGTGTTTTTTTCGAAAAAAAAGTAATTAACCTCGAAATGGATCACCCTTCAATTTAACTAGCGTTCAATATTTTTTTCAATGAAACGTCATGATATTTAGGTCAAACTAGTTTTCAATTTTGGCAAATTCAACATTTTCAACGTGTTTATTCAAAATTGTTAAATCATGCACAACTTAACAACGGCCATAATTTTTCAAACTTGATTGATGTCTTGTCTTCATGGCAATGCATATATCAAGCTCATAAAAGGTGCTAATAGGGAAACCTGTCGTTGAACGGCCTTTTTTATAGAACCGATTAGAGTAGTGTTATTTATTGACACACCTAGCTTTCATGTGTAGAGGAAGAGTTTAGAGCAGCGCGGCAAGCTTCTGCCGCAAGGTCGCGAAAAATTAATTGCAGATGTCATACCTACACGTTTCATAAAATATTAACTGATATAACCATAAAGATTAGCATCTGCAATTTAGAAGTAATAAATATTTGTTTTTAGACATGTTTGGACATATCCACACCCTCAGACATTTCTTCTTCTAGTTTTATTGAATGAAATTACTGCTAAATTATCTAAGAAATTAGTAATGATAATGAAAAATAATTTAATTTTCATAATTCTTAATTCAAAAATATACAGAAATCCATTTTTGTCAATTGCGTATCGAATTGAGTTTCAAAGTTGACAAAAGTTTTCAAAAAATTATTCATTAATTATATGTAGAATAAAAAAATACTTCTTTCAGTTAATTTTATCTTCTTACTTTGTAATTTTTCAAAAAGTTAAGTCGAATCGCCATCTTACAAACATATTATTTCTGCGAGAGAAAAAAATGCCACTGCAACACCACCAAAAGATTCCAAAAATGTATGTAAAACAAAGTAAATAAACACATAAATTCCGCATGCATTGCACGCACTGAGTTGTTGATGACTTCATCATCGAGTTATCGTACACAGAAAGGATTTTCACTTGCAGCAAATAATAAACAAAATAAAATTTACCAAGCAACAACAATGACTGTAATGACTGGACGATGCAAAGGAATGCTTTTGTAAGATGGCTCAAGGAAGGAAGGCGGAAAGGAAAGGAAGCTGAGCTGAGCTGAGCGAAGAACTTCGAACGTTGAGAGGATGAAGCAACATGTTACAAAGGAGGGAAAGTGAACTAACCAGAAGTTTTTAAATACATATATACTTTATTAGACTGTGTTCACACGACGACTCTTTCAATGGCCAAAGCGGATTTTGCAAAGCAAAGGGACGACGTGGAAAGACCATCATAAAATAAAGAAAAA